GCGGACGCTTGGTCCCCTTGGATCTCCATGATCCCCTCTAGAGTAGCGAATTTCAGTTTCTGGTGATAAGTGGAGTGCACCGCTCCTAACACATGCAGCCATGCTCGTCCCATGATCACATTGTAGAGAGAGTCCGTATCAATCACGACAAACTCGATGTTGATGGTGAAGGGACCTGTGACAACTGACAATGTGATTTTGCCTATGGGTAGGGCGAACGAGTCGTTGAATCCAATGAGGGGTGTCCTGACCTTGGTGAGGTCCTTGTGGCCAAGACCCATCCGTTTTAAAGAGTCAGAGTACATCACTTCCGAGGAACTTTTGGAGTCTATCAACACCTCTTGACGTCGAACTTGCCTATCTTCAAGGTTATGACAAGGGCGTCGTTATGAGAAGTCACCACGTCCGTCAAGTCCGCGTCGGAGAACGTGATGCTCGGCTCGCCAATCCTGGCCCTTTTACTGGGCGGCCCCCCATCATTCTCAGTTATCTTTCTTGTAAAAGCTACCCTCTTGAGATCGGACTCGAGTTCCTTGGACGTGGGGCGATCTAGTGGACATACATGGATCACATCTATGACGTTGTCCGGCTCCTCGGTCGGGACAGGGGTGCGTCTCTTTTCCGGCCTGAGCTCTATGTATTCTTTTAAGTATCCGTCTCAGACCAATCTTTCCAAGAAAGATTTGTATACCCTACAGCTTTTGGTGTAATGACCAAAATCCCAATGATAGGAACACTTGACCTTTTGATCACGGGTGGAGGGATCGCTCTGCATCCTGGGCGGCCACTTGAAGAATGACTCATGCTTGATTTTATGGAGCAACTTATAGATGGGTTCCTTGAACATAGTGTGAACTCCTTTGAATGACCCCCCGGAGGGGGTAACAGTCCTTTTCGAGAAGTATCCTCCCGCTCCCTCTCTTTTATTTTAGGTTGGAGGGTCCTGTCTTTGCTGCTTCTCATCTCGTCCTCGATCCTAGAGTACTTGTTTATCCGGTCCACCAGCTCGCCCATATCCAAGGGAGTCTTTTTGGTCAGAGATCGGTACAGGTCCGTGTCCCTTGCCAAGCCGAGCCTGAAAGACGCCGCTGTCATGACTTCCGAGCAGCCCTCTACCTCATTAACATCTTCCCAGTACCGGATGGCGTACTGGCAAAGGGTCTCAGATTCCCTCCGTCTGAGCGTTAGCAATGATCCAATGTCTTTAGGCCGCTTACTCCCCGTAATGAATCGGGCCAGGAACTGCCTCGTCAATTCNTCCCGCTCCCTCTCTTTTATCTTAGGTTGGAGGGTCCTGTCTTTGCTGCTTCTCATCTCGTCCTCGATCCTAGAGTACTTGTTTATCCGGTCCACCAGCTCGCCCATATCCAAGGGAGTCTTTTTGGTCAGAGATCGGTACAGGTCCGTGTCCCTTGCCAAGCTGAGCCTGAAAGACGCCGCTGCCATGACTTCCGAGCAGCCCTCTACCTCATTAACATCTTCCCAGTACCGGATGGCGTACTGGCAAAGGGTCTCAGATTCCCTCCGTCTGAGCGTTAGCAATGATCCAATGTCTTTAGGCCGCTTACTCCCCGTAATGAATCGGGCCAGGAACTGCCTCGTCAATTCTTTCCATGATCCAATGCTATTGGGGGGAAGCGCCTCGAACCACTTCATCGTAGAGTTCCCTAAGCTCATGGGAAACACTCGGCAGAGGAACCATTGGTCTGAATGGTACAGGGACATCATTTGCTTGTATTGCTTGAGGTGGGCTTCGGGATTAGACCGCCCATCATAAGTTTTGAACCTCGGCATGATGAACTTTTTTAGAACCTCCATCTCTCCGATATCCCTGGTAAAGGGTGTTTGTATGACCTCGTCTTCGTCCTCATCCTAGACAGCCTTACTCTTTCTCCTGGATTCCAACCGAGCTCTGAGATCAATTTCCTCCCCAACGGGATGTCTTCTGAAGTTTCCGAGTTCATCAGTAGGTCCCCCATTTCCTGGGCGTCGTGTGGAAAGGGTTAAATCCTCCTCGGACTCATTTCCCTTCCTCCGTCTTGACAATCCTCGTCGGAGGTCATCCAGGCTTAAAGGCCTTGCCTTCCTGAAATGGTCGTTAAGAGGATGTTCGTTGGCTCTTGGTCGCTTTGGGGTCTTGGATCTTTCTGCCTTGTTATTTAAATGATTCTTTAGATCCTTCGTTTCCACCTCCTGGACGGGGAATCCACGAGAAAGGAATGAGTCCCTGGACCCTTCGCCGAAGGCGGCGAATTCGTTAAGCCGGCTTAGGATGTTCACATTGTCTTTTTCCAACTGTCGTAATCGATCCCTAAATTTTTCTTTGATCACCTCCGCCAGTTGACGAGCCAAGGGGGCGGATCCTCTTGACCTGATACCCATACTGGTTTGAGGAGTAAGCCCTCTTGACTAAATAGAGGCATTTCTATTCCCATCAGTGTGATCCTTCCCTCCATTATGACATGGAGCTCGTAATTCAAGACTTCTTTGTTGGGGACCTTTTCTTTTTTTGTCGAGTATTCACAATGAACACTGTTCTTTATAGAGAAGAAACTAGAAAAACTAGTCGTTTCCCACAGACGGCGCCAGATTGTGCATGCAGGATCTTGCACAATATAAACACGAGAACGAATTTCTCCCGTGGTGAACTCGAGTCAGTCAATCAAATGGTCAACCTTGCTATTTGGAACAGACTGAGATCCGTTGGTGACCTGGAACGGTAATGAGTGACTTTCGTGGATCAAAGGAGTGGCCCAGTAAGGTTGAGGGAGATTCCTGGAACAAAGAAAGACAAGTTAGAGGGGCGCCGGAGTGTTTTCTGGCGAATCCCCTCCGACGATCAAGTCAGTTTTTGAGAGAGGGGAAGAAGAAAATACTGAGTATAGATTTGAGAAAAGGTTTTTCGTTGCATACCGTCTTGCCTTTTGCGAGAAGTATTTATACCTCAAAAACTCATGATTGCTGTCAGTGTGATCAGTAGGTGATCATTAGATACGGGCAACGTGCGCACTGATTCCTAAGAGGAATGTCTTCTCTCTTAATTGCTTGGGACCCCGAGCAACCAATGCTGCGTCATCGGTCTGCGGAATGTTTAATGAGCTCCTCTCGGCAAGGGTGTAATAAATGCCCAGTCTTAGGGATATTTATTACCTTTCACTTCCGAGCCTTACCACATTAAATGTTGTCTCATCAAGGGAATGGTGTAATTAAATGCTTACTTCCCCAAGTCGTGTGTCAGCAAGGGCATCCGGTCTTTTTGTTTCTGATGTGACACGATATGCCACGCGCTCATTCCCCATTGGCTGTGTCTTCTGCCTTCCTATGCTTTTCTAACACAAATTGTGTAAGACGAGGTCATGATGACTAATCTAGTCTAGCCTAGGCTAGTGACCTGTACACCAATAACCTCTGTAGGAGTAGAGAGCGCTATACTGGACGAGGTACGTCTCGGTACCAAGAGGAGTGATACATGTAGGGACCGATGTACCCATATCCGACCGAGGGATACGCGTCGGTACGTAACATACTGGGTGTCATTGATCCCTATCAACAGTACCTCGGGGGAACATGGACTAGAGATTCGACGGGTACGTGTCGTGATTACAATAACAAAATTTTACTGATGTCGAAAACACGTGTCTTCATTTTTTAGTACATGAAAATGTCCTATCACATATAATATGATTTGACCCTGAGTTGTCTTTAGGAGGATACTCTCTGGTTTGACATTGTATATCTGTTTCCCTCGCATCATATTCTTAAATCTTTAAGGGTCCTATAAAAACGTGATATTGCGAAGTTTATTTTTTTATTTTATTATTTTTACAATATGATGATCTTATTGAAAGTTATAACATTTAAATCTGGAGTTATAACTCAAAAGAAGTTTGAGTTATAACAATATGATTTAGGTTATAAAATTAAAAGGGATGATTAATTTTAAAATATTTGATCATGAAAAATATAACTTCATTTAGAACGTACAAAAGAAATTTATAACTAATTGAAGTAATTCAAATTAATCATAATATTTCATAATTAATTACAAATTACTTCAATTAGTTATAATTCACATTTAAAATGTGTAATTTAATCTTTAAAAATAATTTTTTTTAGTATAGTACCATTTATTTCCTGTATCATGGTGCTATCCTTCTAATAATTAATAATTAGAAATATAATCCATCAAATATAAATCTCGATTGGAAAGGGTTCCTAAAATAAACTCGATCAACAGAAGGTGAACGAAAGTACTGTGAAATGACTCAAATACCATCCAAGGGGAGTAGGTAGTACTGTTCTGGGGACTGGCACAGTAACAGTCGTACGCATCCTCCCCCGCACCCCAAATGCATCTTTCCAACGAGTATGGGAGCGAAGGCAGGCTGTGCACGTTTGTCATATGTACTAGAGTTAATTTGTGACCAGAGCTTAATGGTTGTTAAATGAGTTAATTTAAAATAATTAGATAAATTTATTAAAATTTATATTATAANCTCGTTTGTCATATGTACTAGAGTTAATTTGTGACCAGAGCTTAATGGATGTTAAATGAGTTAATTTAAAATAATTAGATAAATTTATTAAAATTTATATTATAAATTGATACTACAGTTAATAACTACATGCAACGTAATGTACATTTTTCACAGTTATTTGCCCGTTGTATTTATCCCACAGTGCGACTGCAAAGTGTTTGTTTAAGGAAGAGTTTAGACGATGAAAGAGCTAATAATTAAGTGGTTACACAAACAAACAAACATTAATAACCTCCTTCCGAACCCTCTTTTTAAGGATTTAATTTCAATTTAGGACGCGATTTGATGATGAGCTTAAAGTAGAGCCATTTCAATTTAGTAATAAAAAAATATCTACGGCCTCTAATCCAATCTAAATCAAATCAGTGAAAAGAAAAATAAAAAAGGAAAAGGAAAAGGTTTGACGGTATGAATATAATAATAGTATAATAATAATAAAAAATTAAGAGTGACTGGCCGTAGTTTTCTTCTCTTCTTCGTCTTGACACAAAAAAGTATGACAGTTTTTCTCATTTAGTTTCCTGCGTAGTGTTGTGAAGGCACTTTTCTTTTCCCCTCCATCAATGGAGACAGTATAGTTTATTACTATTACCACCAAGGTACGTCTCATCCAGATCAATTTCTGTATTTATTTGCTTTTTACTCCCATCCCATCCCATCCCACACACACATACATGCTATTTGGCTTTATTTTATTATTTTTTTTAGGGTTCTTACTAGTCTTTGCCTCTTTGGCTGATGACACTGATTAATCGATGGATCTATCTAGTACGTGTGTGAACTTATCGCAGTCAAAGCTGAGGGGTGGGAGGGTTCGCCAACATCACTTTTCATGGCGGTTGTTGAGAGTGCTTCTTCCCACGAATCCAATGTCCACTGCAACGATCAGGATCAACCAAAGAACAACAATCACCCCCACAATCATGTAAGGACTACTCCCATGGTTGACCACCCCAGCTTCAACCACGATAACAGCAACAGCATCCCCAATTTTCAACCCCACCTCCACAATCTCCATGTGAAGGTCCATCCTTTTCACGTGCCTCCTCCGAAGGCGCACGTTAGCACCAACCACAACGCTCAGCTTCACGATGGACTCGAATATGATCATGTGCAGAAGAAGATCGCTTGTGCACCGGTTTCGACTGATCATCGATCCAATGGTGGGAATTTTCAAAGCACTGGTGATGTTGGCGAGAGCAGCTTTAAGAGGGAGATGAGGGAATTGGAGGAAATGTTCTCCAAGTTGAACCCCATGGCTGCAGAATTTGTGCCTCCTTCACTGGCTAACAGTGGAATCAATGACGGATATTTTATGAACAATTCTGCCATGCCTTTTATCACCACAAATGGAAATGCTAATGGTTACACAGCCCGATGGGTATGTACCGATCCACTATTATTATTATTATTATTATTTCTTATGCCTTGTGGTCCTGTTAATATTACAGTTGAGGCATAATTTTTTTTTAACAATTTTATTGTTAATGGTTGTTTTGTTAACATTTAAATTATTCTCAGAGGAGGAATAACTATAGTCCGGGGAAACGAGGTATGAACAACCGAACAAGTATGGCCCAGAGGGAAGATGTAATTCGGAGGACTGTGTATGTGTCTGACATTGATCATCAGGTAAATAATTGCATCTTGTTTTAGATTTTGAAATCTCCTTGGTGCTTCTCTGCTGCACCAACTACTTTGACTAATTGTGTTGCTTGTTTTTTGGACATAGATCACAGAAGAGCAGCTTGCAGCCTTGTTTCTCAGTTGTGGGCAGGTACTAGTGCTTCTTGTTGTTCGCCAGAATACCTTTAATTTTCCAGTTGAAACTATGTTGCTAAGCATTTTACCTTTCTTGTTGTGAAGGTTATTGACTGCCGTGTTTGTGGAGACCCTAATTCTGTCCTTCGTTTTGCTTTTGTTGAGTTTACCGATGAGGGTAATGTTGAGGATCACTTACTTGAGTTGTTGGTTCTGTTTGTTGAGTTTTATTTGTTGGTTATATCATGCAAGGTTTTAGCAAATTTTTGTGTGTTTTGCAGAAGGTGCACAAGCTGCTTTAAGTCTAGCAGGGACCATGCTTGGTTACTACCCAGTGAGGGTGCTGCCTTCTAAGACAGCAATAGCACCAGTTAACCCGACATTTTTGCCTAGGGTGAGAAATCTTTACTATTATGATCAAAATTTCGTTAAACTTATGGAATACTATTTTTATCTTCATGTTTGATGTCATACTCCTTATTAACCGGGTGATTAATTGTTACTCTGGTTTCCAGAGTGAAGATGAACGGGAGATGTGTGCAAGAACTATTTACTGTACAAATATTGACAAGAAGGTACTCTTAGTGTTTTTTACTTGTCACTGACTGAGATCTAGGAGTGGAATGGAAACCAACCCAATGTCCTTCGCCCTCCCCCGCCCACCCACCCACCCACCCTAAAAAAAAAGCAATAACAAAACAAAAAGAGCTAAAAAGGGTTCAAATAACATTGTACTTTATATTTTGTGCAGGTTTTGCAAGCAGATGTGAAACTTTTTTTTGAGTCAGTTTGCGGAGAGGTTTGTCATTATGCTTTGAAAAGTCTGTTTATTAACAAGTCAAATGTATTTATCGAAAGAAGGATTTGTGATGGCAGTATGACTGATGTAGGTTTATCGCTTGAGGCTGCTTGGAGACTATCACCATTCTACTCGTATTGCCTTTGTGGAATTTGTAATGGTAGTTAATCTTTTCCTTGTATAATGCTTGTTGACTTCTTTATTTTTCAATGTTTTCCCTATTTTATTCCTATAATGACACCCCTCATTCATTGTGAGCTTAGGGGACGTCTGAAAAAGAGTAGGTGAGGTAAAAAGGGGCGTCAAGTTACTAGTTTTAGTGAGAATTTTTGAATTAGCAATCTGACCTTATTGCTTGAGGCGTTAAGTCATGGCATACATTGAGGACAATATGATTCAGTTTATTTGGAGTTTATTTTCTTGAGGCAAACTTCGGGCAGGATCAGGAGAGAATGCAAAGTTACAGAATTGATGTATTCATTAGAATGCTTGCTGGGATCTGAGAGCTTTCTATGAGTAGCACAAGTTGGAAGGTTACGAAACCCGGGGAAGAGGAGGGTGACTTATTTGGGGGGTTGGGGCAGGCAAAAGTATCTGCTTAGATTTGGAGTGATTGATCTAGGTGAAGTTGAACATTTGATGGGAATCTGATAGTGTTAAAATGGATATATCTGACTGTCTTGAGGGTAACTAAAATGATTAAGTTTATCGTTTTTGACAAATGGCTTCTTATTTTTCTACCAATGTATGATAGGTAGTCTTAGTCTGATCTCTCTTTGTTAGTGTTTTTCTATTCCACTGATGTGGAGTGTCTAAATTATTATTGCTAAAACCTCTCTTTCTCAATGAAACCCTTGTTGTGAGAAGCTTTTTTAGAACAATATTATAGTTGGTAAATGTTTTAGCTTATGAGCAGTGTTTTGTTGCTTTTTGAGAGAACTTGCAAGTGATAATATTTCTTAATGGGCATAAACCTCTGCAAACCCCTTCTCCCATGAGGCGCTTCCTCTTTTTTTTTTTTCATCGGTTGCCATCCACTACTTTTCGTAAACTGTTAAGTAGGATTCTTTCTTGCTGAAATTTTGGGCAGCGATTTTCCCAATAACTTGTTTTTCATTGTGGCATTGTTTAATTGAACATTGTTATTTATCTAAGTCATCTTCAAGCTGTTTTTGGTGGCAGCATATATCCGAACTTTTTTGGTTTTCGTTTAGCTTTTATTTCCCGTTAATCTCTCTTTTTTATTCTCATTGGTTTTGATGTTTTGATAAAACAATGGAGGAGTTGATTGACATGGAATGTCCAAATCTCTCCTTTAGTCTATTAGCAACATGATTAGCTAGGCTTGAGAAGATTTGTTTCGCAATAAAAAAGTTATATGCGTGGTTGCCAAGTTGGGGGACCATGTTCAAGCAATGTAAATGTTCTCATCACTACCATTTCTTATTACTGTTCACAGATGGACTTCCATTTACAATGACTTCTTGGATTATGAGAAGCTTATAGGTCACTGCTACATCCTTTCCACTGGATCTAATTTAACGAATGTCACGTTCAGTTTTGCCTGTTTCTTGGGCACTTGCAATATTAAATATTCAAATAGTGCATTTACAGTTGGGGCTTATTGAAGTGGTGGTACTGGGTAGTGGCAAAGTTCTGCTTGATAGTGGGGTGATATGGTTAACAATGGTTGGGTGTTAGAGGTGGCAGGGCTATTGGTGGGGTTGATGACTTAATTCGGAGATATAACTGGTGAGTTAAAGCTTTTCCTTCACCTAAACATAGTTGCCTAAATATCTTCTTTCTCTTTCTTGTTCTCCACTTTTTCTCTTCTAGAGGCATGCTTGTCATTTGCCTTTCTTCACTGAAGCATCTTGAATTCTCTTTAACACAAAGTGGGATTTTATTGAAAGTTCAATAGGAAGAGTTGCCCTACTTTTTAAAATCAAAGTGAAAAGGAAATACAAAGTACCAAACCAGAGAAGCTGAACTTTATTTGGAAGATTTGTCATATAGAATGTGCTAACCATTTTCAACCACCATATATAGTGAGGGTCATCATGCTTATATAGATATTGGTGTGCCAAAGTGGTCTGCTTTAATAATCCATAAGAAAATGCATCTTAGAAAACATATCTCCAAACTCCCAAAAAAGAAGGAAAAGGATGGGTGGGAATGTGGAATTAGAAGTAAATAAATGATCCAATGTTCCGTTCCTAACGTTATTAGAGAATTGGCACTGAAAATTCTGATTTTTGTTTATTTCGGCTTTCATCTTTCGGTGTGGGGTTTGAGGCTGTGTTTGTTATGTAGATCGATAGGTCACTCGAAAAGATGTTCACTGAATGTGAGATGATGGTTAGCTGGCTATGTGAGATGACAGGAATTGTTAAAATTAGGATTTGACACATTTGTAAGATTGGAGAGAGCATTAGTTGAAGATACTATGAAAGAAACAGACTTCGATGATTGGGTCCTGTTAGAGGAGCAGCAATATTAGTGTAGTTAAAGGCGCAAGGTGTGCTAAAAGTGAAGCATGGTGCTAATCAGTTAAAATATATTTAATCAATGTTAGGAATTGCAGATCAAGGAAGAACAAAATGAATCTGGTTATCTAACTTAATGAGATGATTAATTTATGCACATATCAAAAAACCATGGATATGAAAGCACAGTTGGAGAATTTTTTATTATAATGCCAATCAAAATATGATGGTGTAATCTGTACTCTTTTGAGGCTCTCCCAACGCATAGCACATGTTAAGGTCATGGTGGCTAAGCTTACTGACCAAGTCCTACAGTTCCTTGGGTTAAGACTTATTATTAAACTTATTGTGGTACTTGATTTTGGTTCTTGTTAGACATAGAGTCTCGACTAGTTAAGTTTAGCACAGGTTATGAGCCTGAGAAGAAAATAGTGTGCCCAGTTTTAACTCACTAAATATATTTCTGTTCATAAATTGGGTAGGTTGTGTCTATAAAGAGAAGAGTGTGCTGTTACCGACTTAATTTCCTATACACTTGATGATTTCTATGGAAGTAGAACGATGACAGCACAGATGTGTTTTTCCAATGACTCTGTCTGCCTTTCTATTGAGAATGAAGGTAACTATTGTCTCTATTAAGCGGTTGAACTACAACAAACTGTACTAGGAGAATTGTTTCTGACAAATTTGTGCACCTATACATCTTTATTAAGGAGCAATGCTTAGACACAATCAGCAACAATATTGAAGTTGAGAAAAGAATTATATGACAGCCGGTACTAACTTGAATTATTGGGGTTGTAGGTGAACATAGACAATGACTTTGGACACACGACCTTTAGGTTGATTGCTGCAATGTACACGAATGTATCTCTCATGTAATTTTGCCTCCTGCAGGCTGAAAGTGCAATTGCTGCTCTCAACTGTAGTGGTGTGGTTTTGGGTTCATTGCCGATAAGGTCAGATTGCATGTTGCTTCAGTTAATTCGTTTTGCATTGTTGTTTTTTCAGAAAGACTTGTTATTTTTTACCTGCACTGATTTTTGATCTCATGTGGTATCATTTATGATCAGGGTAAGCCCATCAAAGACGCCTGTTCGGCCACGAGCTCCTCGTCTGCCCCTACGTTGAACAGGTTTTTGCTGGTCCCAAACTAATTTAAGCACTACTACTTCCCAGGCTAATTTAAGTACTACCTTTGGTTTTAACCCTGGAATATCTGCACACCAATGTAAAGATGTTTTTACAATAGTTTGTCTGTCTTATATGCTTTTGTCCTTTAGCTTCTTTGACTGGGATCTTTGCTGTCCTAAGGGGTCATCTTGTGTTTATTCTAGCTTCGTTGATGGAACTTTGAGGCCTTCAAAAATTTATGTAGGATTTCCTGTTTATGTGAACTGCTGTATGTGGCCGATATTAAGCACTCCTTAAGTTCTCCAAACTTTGAAAGCTATCGAACTATCTTTATAATGAGTAGAGCCTTGATGACGCGGTTGATTTGATATGTGGAGTCATATATAGTGCTCCAGTTAACTTGCAATTACCACACTGCAAAAATCAAGTTGGTTGAAACAGCAAACATGAAGCTTGGCGCTATTTTACATGCACGACTGAATAGTGGAAAGGTAATTGATATTACATGACCCAGATCCCTTTGTGTTCATAAAGAGAGGTGTTGATGATGATAAGCTAACAGAGCTGTACCAATGGTGCAACTGGTGTTTGTAGTCTTATTGGTTGGCTGAACAACTGTTAAAATGTGGAATGTTTATCAAGGCAACCATATCAGTGTCATCGCTATTAACCCTGCTCTTCTATGGCAATTTACCAACCATTTTGTACATTCACTTGCTATGCAAGCACTTGGTGGAATACAATATATTCATATGGTATGAGGAAATCTGATATTAACATTTGATCCATCTGATCTAGAGTCAAGGTTTATGTGTTATGAGCATAACTAATAAAAACCCGCCTCTCTGACCAAAAAATTATTAGGGTGTAATATTGTAGATTAGAGTTTGTTAGACTTGTACAGATGTCATTTGTTCATTGGTTGTACAGAGTAGACAGATTGTAATTTTTCTTTCCTGCTATTTATATTAGTTTTCTCCTCTTTTGTAACAGTTCGATGAATGAATGAAAATCATTTCCTTCTTTTCTCTTCTTCTTGTTTTTTCTTTTTCTCGAACTTAATATAATATCAGAGCAGATTTGATCCGTTGCAAATTTGCTTGTTTTCTTCTTCCTTCGTTGATTGTTCTTGTTCTCTTCGATATGGCGACTCTTCCCTCGACGAGTGATTCAAATTCTGGAGAGCGTACTAATTCGAATCATTCCGCCATTAAAGAACCTTTAAATCCTTACTATTTTCATCATTTTGATAGTCCTGGGCAAGTGCTCGTCTCGCAGCTGCTCACTGGTGAGAATTATACCAATTGGAGTTACGCGATGTTAATTGTCCTATCTGTAAAGAACAAATTGGAATTTGTTGATGGTTCCATTCCTGAGCCTTAAGGTATTGATGATAATCTGTTCAATTCCTGGATTCGCAATAATAATATTGTTATTTCTTGGATCTTGAATTCGGTTTCAAGGAAAATTTTTGCCAGTATTATTTTTGCTGCTTCTGCATGTGTGATTTGGCTAGATCTTAGGGATCGTTTTCAGCAGAGGAACGGACCTAGAATTTTTCAGCTTAAACAAGAATTGATGAATTTGTGTCAAGAACAGAGTTCTGTTAGCATTTACTTCACAAAGCTGAAAACTATATGAGAAGAACTGAGTAATTACCGGACTAATTGTTCTTGTGGAAAGTGTTATTGTGGAGGAGTTAAAAATCTTAACAATCATCATCAAATGGAGTACATAATGTCTTTCTTAATGGGACTTGATGATTCTTTCTCTAAAGTTCGTGGTCAGTTGCTTCTCATGGANGTACTTTATATTTTGTGCAGGTTTTGCAAGCAGATGTGAAACTTTTTTTTGAGTCAGTTTGCGGAGAGGTTTGTCATTATGCTTTGAAAAGTCTGTTTATTAACAAGTCAAATGTATTTATCGAAAGAAGGATTTGTGATGGCAGTATGACTGATGTAGGTTTATCGCTTGAGGCTGCTTGGAGACTATCACCATTCTACTCGTATTGCCTTTGTGGAATTTGTAATGGTAGTTAATCTTTTCCTTGTATAATGCTTGTTGACTTCTTTATTTTTCAATGTTTTCCCTATTTTATTCCTATAATGACACCCCTCATTCATTGTGAGCTTAGGGGACGTCTGAAAAAGAGTAGGTGAGGTAAAAAGGGGCGTCAAGTTACTAGTTTTAGTGAGAATTTTTGAATTAGCAATCTGACCTTATTGCTTGAGGCGTTAAGTCATGGCATACATTGAGGACAATATGATTCAGTTTATTTGGAGTTTATTTTCTTGAGGCAAACTTCGGGCAGGATCAGGAGAGAATGCAAAGTTACAGAATTGATGTATTCATTAGAATGCTTGCTGGGATCTGAGAGCTTTCTATGAGTAGCACAAGTTGGAAGGTTACGAAACCCGGGGAAGAGGAGGGTGACTTATTTGGGGGGTTGGGGTAGGCAAAAGTATCTGCTTAGATTTGGAGTGATTGATCTAGGTGAAGTTGAACATTTGATGGGAATCTGATAGTGTTAAAATGGATATATCTGACTGTCTTGAGGGTAACTAAAATGATTAAGTTTATCGTTTTTGACAAATGGCTTCTTATTTTTCTACCAATGTATGATAGGTAGTCTTAGTCTGATCTCTCTTTGTTAGTGTTTTTCTATTCCACTGATGTGGAGTGTCTAAATTATTATTGCTAAAACCTCTCTTTCTCAATGAAACCCTTGTTGTGAGAAGCTTTTTTAGAACAATATTATAGTTGGTAAATGTTTTAGCTTATGAGCAGTGTTTTGTTGCTTTTTGAGAGAACTTGCAAGTGATAATATTTCTTAATGGGCATAAACCTCTGCAAACCCCTTCTCCCATGAGGCGCTTCCTCTTTTTTTTTTTTCATCGGTTGCCATCCACTACTTTTCGTAAACTGTTAAGTAGGATTCTTTCTTGCTGAAATTTTGGGCAGCGATTTTCCCAATAACTTGTTTTTCATTGTGGCATTGTTTAATTGAACATTGTTATTTATCTAAGTCATCTTCAAGCTGTTTTTGGTGGCAGCATATATCCGAACTTTTTTGGTTTTCGTTTAGCTTTTATTTCCCGTTAATCTCTCTTTTTTATTCTCATTGGTTTTGATGTTTTGATAAAACAATGGAGGAGTTGATTGACATGGAATGTCCAAATCTCTCCTTTAGTCTATTAGCAACATGATTAGCTAGGCTTGAGAAGATTTGTTTCGCAATAAAAAAGTTATATGCGTGGTTGCCAAGTTGGGGGACCATGTTCAAGCAATGTAAATGTTCTCATCACTACCATTTCTTATTACTGTTCACAGATGGACTTCCATTTACAATGACTTCTTGGATTATGAGAAGCTTATAGGTCACTGCTACATCCTTTCCACTGGATCTAATTTAACGAATGTCACGTTCAGTTTTGCCTGTTTCTTGGGCACTTGCAATATTAAATATTCAAATAGTGCATTTACAGTTGGGGCTTATTGAAGTGGTGGTACTGGGTAGTGGCAAAGTTCTGCTTGATAGTGGGGTGATATGGTTAACAATGGTTGGGTGTTAGAGGTGGCAGGGCTATTGGTGGGGTTGATGACTTAATTCGGAGATATAACTGGTGAGTTAAAGCTTTTCCTTCACCTAAACATAGTTGCCTAAATATCTTCTTTCTCTTTCTTGTTCTCCACTTTTTCTCTTCTAGAGGCATGCTTGTCATTTGCCTTTCTTCACTGAAGCATCTTGAATTCTCTTTAACACAAAGTGGGATTTTATTGAAAGTTCAATAGGAAGAGTTGCCCTACTTTTTAAAATCAAAGTGAAAAGGAAATACAAAGTACCAAACCAGAGAAGCTGAACTTTATTTGGAAGATTTGTCATATAGAATGTGCTAACCATTTTCAACCACCATATATAGTGAGGGTCATCATGCTTATATAGATATTGGTGTGCCAAAGTGGTCTGCTTTAATAATCCATAAGAAAATGCATCTTAGAAAACATATCTCCAAACTCCCAAAAAAGAAGGAAAAGGATGGGTGGGAATGTGGAATTAGAAGTAAATAAATGATCCAATGTTCCGTTCCTAACGTTATTAGAGAATTGGCACTGAAAATTCTGATTTTTGTTTATTTCGGCTTTCATCTTTCGGTGTGGGGTTTGAGGCTGTGTTTGTTATGTAGATCGATAGGTCACTCGAAAAGATGTTCACTGAATGTGAGATGATGGTTAGCTGGCTATGTGAGATGACAGGAATTGTTAAAATTAGGATTTGACACATTTGTAAGATTGGAGAGAGCATTAGTTGAAGATACTATGAAAGAAACAGACTTCGATGATTGGGTCCTGTTCGAGGAGCAGCAATATTAGTGTAGTTAAAGGCGCAAGGTGTGCTAAAAGTGAAGCATGGTGCTAATCAGTTAAAATATATTTAATCAATGTTAGGAATTGCAGATCAAGGAAGAACAAAATGAATCTGGTTATCTAACTTAATGAGATGATTAATTTATGCACATATCAAAAAACCATGGATATGAAAGCACAGTTGGAGAATTTTTTATTATAATGCCAATCAAAATATGATGGTGTAATCTGTACTCTTTTGAGGCTCTCCCAACGCATAGCACATGTTAAGGTCATGGTGGCTAAGCTTACTGACCAAGTCCTACAGTTCCTTGGGTTAAGACTTATTATTAAACTTATTGTGGTACTTGATTTTGGTTCTTGTTAGACATAGAGTCTCGACTAGTTAAGTTTAGCACAGGTTATGAGCCTGAGAAGAAAATAGTGTGCCCAGTTTT